GGGACTGGTGTTCAGATTCAAACTGGCCTCGGTTCAGCAGAGCCCGTGGCAGGCGCTGCCATCCCTCTCTGCTCAGCAAATTGTGTCCTCGAACCCCATGCAGCCAGGGAAATCACAGGCTGTGTTCATAGCCCAGCATGAATTTCAATGTTGGGGGAACGAGGATCGTTTCCTGAATCAGAGACGCAATCAGCAGCGTTTCAGAGCTAGAGGTATCTGTATCATCAAGCTGGGCTGAGTAATTACTTGGACAAATTAGGCATGCATTTTCTATGTGCAACTGTGTTGGCTTTTTTTGTTGTGCTTGAAAACCTTGCTAGAATCTGCAAACCGCCTCTACCACTGGGAAGGGATTGCTGGATTTTTCCTTTATAAGACAGTAAGATGCTGGCCGTTATTTCTGATGCCAGCAGTGCATTGTCCTGCTTATTGCAAAAAATCACCACGAGCAGAAAAAGTTAATCAGAGGCAGCAAAGTCACGTGCTCTCCGGTAGCTGCCGTTGCCTGCCCCTTCGCCCCAGTGCCGCTGCCTGCATCCTCCTGCCTGCTGCATGGCATGGATTTATGCTTGCTGGTGTTTTCTGTTTACTTTAATTGTTGTCTGCTTTTAATATTGCATGAATCTGCACCTGATTGATCTGCGTTTCATTGTCTGGCGCTGTTTGTTTTAGGGCAATGCCTGAAATACCCCTGGCAGATAAGTGCTAGACAGGTACAAGGTATTTTACTTGCTTGGCAAAAGCTGAGGGGTGACCGAGCTGTCCCTCGGTCCGGAGAGGAGCCCAGGCACCCATCTCCCTCCAGCGCCCGGGGGTCCCGGTGCAGCACCCACCTGCCCAGGTGCTCGCTCAGGAGCCCGTGGGGAGGACGGTGCTTCCTCGGCGCAGCCGTGCAGGCGGATTTTGCTGCGTGCCCAGAGCCACCGAAGGCAAAAGCCGTGCTCAGGGTTGCTCCGGATGCGTCCCTGCTGCTCTTGGGCAGAGTCTGGCCCTGAGTGCCCCTCGGATGATGGCACCAGACACTGGTCCACAGCCAGAGCAGCGGTCCAGAGCCAGCCTGGAAGGATGCTCCGCTCTCACCACCACCATCCTCTCTGGGACGAAGGTGCAGCCGGCACAGACCCCGCTAGAGCAGGGGGCTGGGGGGCAGGACAGCATCCTCCTGCCTGCCCCATGAACGTTGTTTCACCCGGCTCCTCCGGCCCCGTCCTGCCAGGTCTCGGCAAGCCCAGGTGGGTCTCAGAGGGGACACCCCTACAGGGTCGTGCTTCAGGCTCCGGCCGAGCGTGCTGGTGGGGCTTCTGCTTTCTTCTGTGCCTCCATTCTTCTGTGTGGATGAGGAGGGGGAGGAAGCCGGAACGCAGCCCGGCACCGGTGGACATGACACACGGCGGGGGGTCCCACATCCCCCCCCCCTCGGGACCACCAACAAGGGGCAGCCGGGCTTTGGGACAGGACCTGGGGGACACACCCTGCCTTTGCGGGGGGGCCAGGGGCAGCCCCAGCACCGCTCCCTGCGCCCCGGCTGCATTTCAAGCAAAACCACCACCAACTTGCTGCGTGAGCGCAGCCAGGAGCCAGACCCTGGAGAAGCCATTTCTCCCCCGCGCAGCTCCGAAGCTCTGGAGAGAAGCTCAGCATCTCCCTCTAACGATGCGCCTCACCCGCTGCCAGACACCCAGCCGCTGCCGTCTGCTTTCGGGGATGCTGCCGGCTCCCCGGCCACCCCACAGCCCCGCGTGCCCCCGCCACTTCACTGCTCCTGCTGCCCCCCCGGCACCCTCCACCACCCCTTCGCCGGCACCCACCGCTGGGGCAGAAACTAAACCCACGGAGCCGGGGGAATCAACCCGGCTCTTGGCCATGGGTTGTCTCGCTCGGGTTCTATTTAGCTCTGATCCGTCCAGGATTGAAAGCTTAATAGTTTCCTACACGGCTGCGTCAGGAGGGGACGGGGCCGCATCCTGCACGGGGCTCTGCTCTCCATGTAAGGGGGTTACAAGGAGCAAACGTGGATCCTGCACCAGCCGGAACGGGTGCGTGGCTCCATCGTGGCTGTCGGTGCAGAGTCCATGGCTGAGCGTGCCACTGCTGCAGAGGAGATGGGGTTTTTTCCTGGTTGTTTTCTTTCCTTTTCTTAAAATTCAATAAATTCTCCCAGCTTTATTGCTCGTGAGGTTCTAGCGAGGTGAGAAGACCCAATTTTGCTGCATTTTTTAAAAGGTCAGTATGGGCAGATGAGGAAATTCCAATTTCTGTGTTCCGGGGGGGGGGGCCGGGAGCTGTGCACCGCGAAGCCCCGAAGCCGGTTCTCTGCGGACGGAGCCTGGGGGTCGCAGCCCCCCCTCTGCCCCCACCACAGCAAAACTCAAACAGGAATTACCCGCTGGCACAGTCCGGCTGAGCCGACCGACGTGCAGATAGGGGAGAGAGCAGCCGCCACGGTCTGGGTCGCTCCGTTGCAGGCACAGACCAGGCGATGCCTTTCTCTGAGTTGGAGGAAAATTGGATTTTGGAAATTTGGAGGAAATTTGGAGTCTTTGCCTTCATCCCAGCACCAAACTCCTCCTCTGAGGGTGACAGATGTGAGTTATAAACTCCTTTGGCAATGCTGATGTCGTGGAAATCACGCTGGTGCAGGAGAGAGAATTCACCTGCTTGGATCCGAGTACCATTTGGTGAATCCGTTATCCAAACCAAAACGGTCTGAGAACTAGATTTTGTTTCTGAGACCTTTCCATCACCTGGGCCTTGTACAAACCCCCCCCGGGGACCCAGTGCGGCCACCGCGGCCGGAGCTCGAGGATGCTCCATGCATCCCGCATCCTGCCCGGGCCCCGCCACGTCCCTCCCCAAGCCCTGAGCCAGGTGCTGGCTTGAAACTCGGGCCCCGCCACGTCCCTCCCCGAGCCCTGAGCCAGGTGCTGGCTTGAAACTCCTGTCCAGCCTCAGCTGGCACTCGGGGGTCCGAGCCCGGAGGGGTTCCGGCCCTCCAAATCCTGGAGGCAAATCCCTGGGGTGTTGCATCTCCTCCTGCCCCACCAAGACCTTGAGACCGCCTGGAGGGCTCTGGGGACAGCTTTCCTTGGGGAATTCAGTGGGGAGACAAAAAACCTTTGGGTGCAATCACGATTTTTGCTAGCTGTGGGCAAACAACTCGTTTTCAGCTCCTCTTTGATCCCACCCCCGTGGAAATCTCCCAGCTCCTTCACTGAGGAGCAGCATCACCGCGATGGGACAGGGATGGGACAGGGATGACACCGGGCTGCCGCTGCCCCGCATCAGCCCCAGGCTCTGCCGCTGGCTGCCTTCACCCTGCCCGCAGCCCCGCGCTCTCCCCTCCCGCTTAGCATGGCTCGTTAGCCGGGGTAATGCCGCTCACAGACGAGCTTTGGAGACCTTTGCTTTGCCACGAGCCGTTACCTGCACTGGAGTCATAACTACGACCCCAAATCCCCCCGTCCAGCCTGCTGCCGGCAAAGATCAGCGGCTTCTTTAATTCTCATTTCCCCAGCGGTTCTGTGGAGCTGGGAGGGGATTTAAATACTGGCAAACCCCCAGGCTGAGGCTTGTTCCCGCAGGGCCGTCCGGTGGGACCCCTGTGCCCCGTGAAGGTGCTTGTCCCAGGGGGTTTAGGGCTGTAGACATCTCCTGAGCATTCCCGGGAAGGGCTGGAGGGACTAAACCCATGGCACAGGTTCAGGCATGGGAAGAGTCAGAAGAGCAGCAAGTTAAAATAACAGTCTCTTATTTTATTACCAGCAGAGGAGGAGGCGGGTGGTGGGCGGGTGCCCGGCCGGGGGGGGCACTGCGACCTGCCTTCGCATCCCTGCCAGCTCTGATGCCCCAGGGGCTTTGGGGTGCTGCTGTTTTGGGACCGCCCCCCCCCGCCCCCCAGCCTTGCCCTCGTCCCCGGGGGGGGACCGTGGGGAGGTGACAGCATCCACCCTGCCCCTAAATCCTCAGTTGTTCCTTACCTGCCTGCATGAGCGGTCTGTGGCTCCGGACAGGGGGGTTTTGGGTGGTGGTGGGGGTGTAAAAGTAAATGTTACTTCACCTTAATGACAAGCTGGGTCATCAGGACGGTGCCTGGGTTCGGTGGCACTGTCACCAGCCCCTGGGCAGGAGATTGGGACAAGCATTTGCAAATGCCCGGAGGAGCAGAGCTCTGCAAAGAGCTGGTGGGAGTGCAGACGGTGCGGGAGGGAGCATGACCGGGCACCGGGGCTGGGGGGGGGAGCCGTGGCACCCAGGAATCCCCAGCCTCACCGTGGGCAGCACCCGGCACTGCCCGGCAGCGTCCCCAGCTGCTCCCACCCGGCCCCTGCATCGGCTCCCCCCGTCTGCCTGCAAACAAGGATGGATGAAGGACGAGCTCCTGGCACAGCTTCCTCCAGGCCACGGCACCCTCCTGGCACGTCCACCCTGCCTTTGCTCCCAGCTTTTCCAGCTCCAATGACTCAGCTCCCTTTTTAACTCAGCAAGTGGAGCTGGGCACTGGTGGCTTGGCCCCCCTTTTAATTATTTTTTGGCTGGTCGGGTCATCTTATTTGCTACTGATAATGTTACCTCCTAGGACGCTGGAAGACAGCCCAGTCTGAAGAGGAAACTAAAGCTCCCTAAATAAGCTCCGAGGTACGGACACAAAGCCACCGGGTGCTGGATGTCGCCCATGTGCATAATGCTTCACCGTCCTGCGTATGGCTCTGAGCCGTCCCGGGAATAACCGCGCTCGATTTGTCCGCGACGCTGAGCCCTGCCTGTCGCCATCTCCTTTTTCCCATCTCTTTCCCTGTGAACCATCAGGCTCAGGTGGGCAAAAGTTCATCTGTCCCAGCCGCTGTTTTGCTAATTCTCCTCCAGCCCAGAGCCACGTCTGCTGGAGGAAACCTCCCATCTCTGCACAGAAATGTATTCGTAAGAAAGAAAGAGAAAGAAGAAGAAGGAGAGAAGCCCCGGAGTGGCTGGGAAGCTGTCTCTTCATATTCCAAGCGTGCGGTTCAGGTCTCGTATCGGCGGTGCACAGCCCATCCCAGAGGTGCTCGGTTCACAGTGTTGGTGCAATCTGCCAAACAGATGGATCAGCTAGGAGACATTTCCAAAAGAAGCTGGAACAAGGGGGGAGAGGAAGGAATAAACAGCCTGCAGGGTGGCACGTTCCAGCTCACCCACTGCCAGCCCTGGAGAATCCCATCCCTTCCACGCAAAATGCCACTAAGGGATTTTGTGCTGTGCACCGCAGCCCGGCCCCGGGCACCACAACCCATCCCTGCGCACCGCAACCTGTGCTCCACACCCCATCCCAGCCACGGCATGGGCCGCATTTGCACCAGCAACATGCAGGTGGGTGCCTCTGGCTTTGGCAGCCACCCAGCCGCTGCTCTCCTTCTCCGGATGGCTGCGGGAGGGACACAACCTCCCCGGGGTTCGGCTTCGTGGCCTCTCTCCCCGCTCAGCCTCCCGCCGGCCCTACCTTGGCTGAGCAGCTGCAGGTTTCGGACCTCCTCGCGCACCTGGAGCTGCAGGACCTGCTGCAGGACCTCCTGCCGCTGCGCCTCGTGAGCGATGCCCATGCGCTGCAGCTTCTCCCCGTTCAGCCGCAGCAGCGCCCGACCTGCAAACACGGCGTCGCTCAGCGACGTGGCGGGGACACCGTAAAAGTGCGACCCAACGGGGACCCGTGTTCATGTGGGAACAAGGAGGGGGAAAGGGAAGAAATCCTAAAATGCTCTTTCGCCACCTGGACCCACGGGGACGGGGAAGCCTCGCGGGTGGCCCCGCTTTCGGAGAGCACCGGGTGGCAGCTCGAGGTCCCCAGCCTTGGGACAGCTACTGACTCTAGCAATCACGCAACCCATCCCCGCAGGCAGGAGCTTTCCATTTCTCCGCTCCACCTCCCACATCAGGAGATGTTTTTCTGAGCGCACGGTCCCCGCATGGGCTGGCCGTCCTGGGGGAACAGGGGTACCCATCAAAATGCATTAGCGTTGCCGCCACCGTCCCCTGCGAGCCACTCTCCTCCAGTCCGGGGGCTATTAGATGAGGGATTTACAACCAGCTTTTGTCCTTGTTTCCCAGCGTACATTTGCTAATGCTGCCTTTGTTTCCCGTGCAAGGGCTGGCTGGGCTCTTGCATTAGGGCTTTGCATCCCTCGCAGGCAGCTCCAGCGCTCCCTTCCCCGCTGCTTTCTCCTGGCCCTGGCAGAGCTCTGCCCGGCCATGCACACGTCGCGGTCAGACCGGGACGGCGCTCGTACATGGGAGTCAAAGCCAGAGTCCCCAGGGGTCAAAGGGGAGGGAGCAGGTCCTAGAGGTTATTATCCTTCAAGGACTTGGCTGGGAGTTGGATTCAGACCTGGAGGAAGACATTTGCAACTTGGACTCCAGCTGAGCAGGGATCTTTCCTCTCCTGCAAGAATTTTCAATATTTAAAAAACTGTAAAAATATTCTTATTATATTAATCTAGGCAAGGAGAAGACTCTTCCCCATCTTATAAACCACAATCTCCCTTGGGCAATTTATGCTCATTTTAAACAACATCCAGCCTGTCCCGAAGCTCACCCCAGTGGCAGATGCCTCCTGCCCAGCCCGGGTGGGTGTCCCCGTGCCCGCTGTCATGGGGCAGCTCTCACCCTGGCTGCATCTCCGTGGAGAGAGGGGACAGAAATGGGGGGTACGTCTGCCTTCCGAACCACAGACCTCCAGACAGCTATTTCCCAGGAGCACGTGCCGATGGCGATTAGTACCGGTGATTAGTGGGGGTGTCTACCGTACCTGTGATGGCGTGGTGGGAGAACGCCTCGACGTAGATGAGATAGTTATGCGGGCAGTGCTTCTTCAGCCATTTGCACACATCCTGCTGGGTCCAGAGCACCACCGGCTTGGCCAGGCTGCCCAGCGTGGGGCTGGTGTGGTAGATGCCATAGTGGTCGCAGGCACGGCCCTGTGGGGAGCGGGAGGGGAGGAGGTTAGTGGGATTCAACCCTGCGAGGAGGGAAACGCCTCAGCCGGGAGGTCAGCCCAGGGGGGGTGCTGGCCAGCGACACGGGACTGCAGCGACACCGGCAGATTTTGGCTTTGTACCCTCTGGAGTCTCTGGGCCCGCCCTGAAATAGCAGCAGCAGAGGAACCGGTGGGGGAGGCGGGGGGAGAGGGGATGGGAGGCCGAGGTGGGGGTCCTGCCCTACATAGACCCTACACCTGGGAGCCAGCCGGCCCTCCTGCGGCAGGCGAGAACTCTGGTCCCCCTCCCCTACACATCTCCCAGCCCAGCAGAGCATCGCGTGGGCTCAGGAGACGTCCCGGGGGTCCCCAGGGAGCCCCCCTCGCTGGGCAGAGAAGGGCGCCTGCTGGCAGCTCTCATGGGGATGGAGCCAGCGAGGTCCTGGGGGGCAGTGGGTACCAGTGCAAAGCCATCCCCACCAGAAGCTGGTACCGGTGCAAAGCCATCCCCACCAGAAGTCCCCAGGGAAGTAGCGAGCAGCCAGCTGGTGCCCTGGAGCAGGAGGGACTCTCCCTTTCTCTCCTGCTCAGCCTCCTTCAACCCTGAGCTGACCAGGCACGACGAGGTCCTGCAGCCTCACAGGCATCTAAAGCCACCTCTGAACACGGCAGCTCTTTCTTGGGGTGCTGCCATGCCCGGAGACATCTGGGATAAACCAGGGTTGCAGTCCTCAGCACCCTAAAGTGACCTGGCCACCCTCCACCTCCCGGAGACCTCTGCCACACACCCTCGCCCCTTGCCCGGACTGTCTTGGCCCCCAACACAGGCTGCTTCCTCCAGCACTGGCCGCCTGCCCGGCCTCGGTGCCCAGCAGGCACCTGCCTGGTGGCAGGATGGGACCAGGACCTGCAGAGCCGAGGGGATGGAGGGGGAGAAGCGGTGCCCGTGGGGAGATGGGGTTTGTCTGCCAGCATCCCTCCCTCCAGCTGCCTGCTGGAGTGGCCGGTCTCGCCCCGAGCCGCCCGGTAGCTCCATTTCCTCGCCCACATCACAGCGACCCCGGCCTCGCGAGGTCTTTGCAGCCTGGGTTTATCTCGGTACGGAGCAAACCGAACGCCTTGAGCTGTAACAGCGCAGGGGGACGAGCCCACTTCTCCCGGGGGAATCCTCCAGGCTGGTTGGGAAATGGGGCTGGGGGATGCAGAAATCCACCGTTTCCTGGTTTTAGCACCCAGGGGAGATTGGTGAGCTCTCCGCTGCCGGCAATGCCGAAACTTCATCCTCGAGCAGCACCAGCAAACATTGCTCCTCCAAAAGCAGCTCCCTGCGCCCGAGTCGCCAGGACTGTCCTGGGCTGGACTGCAGGCAGGTGGGGATGGGAAAGGGGTCCCCGCTGCCTGCAGCAGGAGGGGACTGGATTGCCAGGGTCCCTGCTGGCACGGTCCTCACCCATGTCCAGGGCACGGCAGGGGCATGGCAGAAGCAGCAGCCTATGCGGGAGCGTACAGGCATGGGAAAGGTCAACAGCGCTTGGACCGCGGTATGCCAATGTCGACCTCCATGTGTGAATATTGGCTAATTAAGCATGCCTAATAGACGAGCGGAGATAATTAGTGTGACAGGGACTCCAGACATCCCGCGGTTACTGAAACTAATGACACGTCCCTGAGCGATGCCAGAGAGGAGGCGGCGGAGGGCAGCAGGGTCTGGGACATCTCCCCTGGCCCCGTGCCGGGCATTGCTCACCCCATGGAGCCCGGCCAGCCTGGCAGGAGCTGCTGCCGGCGCCCAGAGGAGCATTTGGGCTTGGAAAGGGACCTTGCCTCAAGGAGGGCTCGCCTGTGGCAGCTGGGGACATTCGAGCGACAGGGAAGAAGGCAAAGTTGGGAGGCTGTAAATTAATAACCAAGGAGTCCATCTCCAAAGCAGACAGAAAATGCGATAGACAATGCGCACAATTTGGTTTCCCAACCAAACCAAACCAAAGCCCGCCTTTGGGGGGCCCCCCGGTAGCTGCCCGCCCCCCCAGACACGTCCCGGGAGCCGCCTGCCCGCAGGAGCAGCCCCAGCCTGCGCCCGGCCGCTCGGCTCCTTCACACTCGGCTGAGCGCACCGGAGAGCGTGCCAACTCGGCTGAGCGCGCCGGAGAGCGTGCCGTGGGGAGGAGGAGGCGATTTGCTTCCAACTAACGAGCAATGATATGATGAGAAGCGGAGGGGCTGGGGGAAATCGATTTGCTCTGGATCCAACTAACGAGCAATGATGAGAAGCGGAGGGGCTGGGGGAAATAACGGCCAGCTTCCTGCGAGCTTCCCGTGAGCTTCCTGCAGCTATTATCCAACTAACCCTCCGAGGCACGGGGGAAGAGGTGACAAACAACCTGCAATTTCCCTGGGCACGCTCATGTCTGCAAGCGCTTCGCCCATCAGACACAGCCCCGCGCCGGGGACCCATCTCAGCATCCCTAAACACTGCCCTGCCGGCTCGGGGCACATCGTCCCCTGCGGTGGGCGAAGCCCCCCCAGCGGGTCCCCAAGCGAGTCCCTGCGCTCCCTGGGTGGGAAGGGGAGGTGTAATGAATCACCGGCTCGTTTTCCAGCCGGTTGAGCTGCGCTGTCGCTCTGATAAACTCTCAGCCGTGAATATCGAGCGCCGGTGTTGAGGAGAGCAGGCGGGAGGGCTCGGAGGCTGCTCCTGCGGGGAGGCAGGAGGTGGCCGGGGGGAGCTGGGTGGTGGGAGCCGTCCCCTGGGAGCTGCAAGGAGCAACCCACGTCACCTCCCTTCTCTCGGGTATTTTTCCTTGCTTATGGCAAAATTAAAGCCTTTCTCCCCACCAAATCCCTCTGGGAGGCACGTAGAGGCAGACGAGGGAGAGCCATGATGAACACAGCTGGTACCCGGAGAGTGGCTGGTGTGTCCCCGTGCAGGCAGCGCTGTCCCCATGCTTTTCACAGAGGTTCAAGAGGAAAGGGGCCACCGGGGTGCCTGGAGGGATGATGGGGACGAGAGGCACAGCACTGCCAGGACAGGGGGACCTGAGGGGCTGCTGCTCCTGTGAGCATCACAGCGTGAGTGTGGGACTGTCCCCGTCCCTGCGGGGACCCTGCTCCCCTCTGACGCCGAACCAGCCAGGCCCTCAAGATGGAGAAGCATCTCCATGTAGGAGGCTGGAAGCCGGGCAGTTCGATTTCCCCCGTTTTCTTTCCAGAGGTCACTGGCTGGATGTGCTGCCTCCGAACACCGCTCCCAGGGCGTTACGAAGGGGTTAGGAAGCAGCAGGAGCTGCTCACTGGGAAGATGCTCCTTCCCACCGCCGTGCAGAGGCAGGGCAGCAGGCAAATCGCTGGAAACCTTCAGCTCACAGCCTCATTAACGCAATACAGTTCAGAATTTTAGGAGGTCAACGGTCCAAACCTGGCTAAGAGACATACCCAAGCGCTCAGGGATTTTAAGGCATTATAAGGAATTTGGGTCTGGCACATTTACTGCAAAATTGTATTAAGTCCCAGCTCCAGGGGTGGACGGGAGGTGACTGCACAGCCCTCCCCCCAGCACAGCCCCCAGCCTGATGATAGTAATCAAATTATTATATTTATATATATTACTATAATTAAATGCCCAATAATCACGAGGGCTTTCAGCAAAATGGGATCTGAAGGCCTGATCCTGCAGAGAAAGAGATGCTCCTGTGGGGAATCGATGGGATGGGGGGCGACATGAGGAGCCGCGTTCCCCTGGGCAGCCCCGGGGCAGGGTCCGGGGGGGTGCGGAGGAGCCCGGCGGGTACCTGCGAGCCCTCCGCGCCCCTGATGGTCCGGCCGCCGTCGGCCCGCTGGCTCCGGCCATCGTGCCAGGTGAGGCTGCTGCCCGGGTTCCTCTGCAGGCGGTAGCTGAGGTTTTCGGCCGAGACCGTGTGCTCCAGGAGGCTGCGGCAGAAGCTGAAGTGAGCGGCGGCAGCTGCGGAGGGAAGGGGGGTGAGAGACGGCCACGGTGCCCCTCTGCCCCGTGCTTGGGCACCCAAAACCACCACTTCTGCCCCACGGGACCTGCCGAGCTCGGCTGTACCCCCCCACTGCCAAAATCTCCCCCCTCGCGCCTTCCCTTCCCATTGCCAGGGTGAAAACCCATCAGCCCACGAACCTGCCGGCTGGTGCCGGGAACCAGCAAGCGCCGACAAGATGTTTGCCCACACAAACCCCTCGCGAACGATGCTTGTTTTGACACCTGCCTGCCGAGCAGACGTGGGGACCCGCAGCTGATCTTCGCCGCGTGGTTATAACCTCCTGCTCGTCACTGCCGCTCTGCCGGGCGAGACGCCGGGAGGGGGCAAAGGGGAACAGCCACTTTCCATGGACCAGGCTGACATTAAACTGCCACCACTGAGGGATGGGAAGCAGATAAACCCCACCCTGGGCAGCCCGATGGAGAAGGGGACGCAGGTTAGTCCTCCCCCAGCACAGACCGTGGCTGCTTGGGGACGGCCGCTGCCACGCAGGCGCACAAACCTGCACACCCAAGTGATGGCCGAATACGCACCAGCCCATCTACGATGGCCCACGAAGAGCCATTTACCCATGATGAGGCGTTTTTGTCCCTCACCCCTTGTGTTTTAATAAGCTGGGGGTATTCAGGTTGCAATGAGGATGCAAAGCTTTCCTTGGGGGGGGGCTGAAGGGACCCGGCTGCTGTGGGAGGAGGATGCATGGGTATTAGGGGCTTACGTGCTTGTCTGCTCCGGATAAAAGCCAGCCGGCTTGACATAAGCAGCGCTGATCCGCAGAAGCAAAGACCAGAGCATCCCCCAGCTCACCTGCTCCCACCACAGCAAGCTGGGCAAGTCATGAAACCACGGAAAGCAGAGCAGCACCCGAAGGAGATCCACCTCCGGGGGTAACCCACCCTGGGAGAGCGGAAGGGCTGAAGAAAACCTGCTGCAGCTCATTTTCACAATTAGTGGGTTTTCAGAGGAAAGAGGTTTCAAAGAGACCTCTCGAGCACGCCTTCATGCAAGGGGAGACCAACCGGCCAAAAGAAGTCAAAGTGGAGCAGGAAACGGTTATCGATGTGTCCGTGTGTCCCAAGTTATCCAGACCACATCACACCGCCTTGCTTCTTAAGCACACCCAGCGACAAGCATTGCCATGGGGAAACTGAGGCAGAGGACCTGGCTGACGGCTGGGGAAGCGATTTTACGGAAAACAAGCTGAAGGGAGATCCACGCAGAGGCTCGGTGTCGAGCGGAGGCAGAGCTGGCAGGGGTGGTCTCTGCGCCTGTCTCGAGTGATGGGGATGTCTCCGATGGCTTCCTACAGCCTCAGACACCCCGGACCTGGCGGGTGAGGACCGCCAGTGGGTTGTGCTCCCTCCAGCCAAGGATGCCCGAGGTGCCCCCGGCTGTCCTGCCCCCAGCACCCCCAGCACCCAGCCCTGCCACAGCCGTGCTGGGCTACCCCCGAGCTGAAAACCGCCCGTCCCACCAGGCGTTGGGGGCAGATACGGACTTGGCAGGTCCGGAGGGGCTGGTGCCAGAGCTACGCACTTTGGCTCTGCCGGGGCTTCCCCAGGACTCGCTGCAGAAAGGCTCGGTGAGGGAGCAGCGGGGAACGGGGCTCTGGCCGCCAGAAGGACCTATATCCATAGGGGGCTATAGAGCATCTGCCGCCAGCAGCAGGACGTGGGCATCTACGCTCCCCCAGCAAACACGGCTGGAGGCGAGAGAGCCGGAGCGAGAGCAGATGGGAGAGAGGGGGGAAAGACGAAGGGAAAAACAAGCCGAGAAGAAAGGCAGGGCTGGGAATGCCGGCGGCACCGCTCCCCGTCGGGGGCAGGCAGCTGCCGCCCTGGAGTCCAGAGCCCCCGGCAGCTCCTCTGCAACCTCCCGCTCCCCCAGCCCAGCCCTCGGGTCCCAACTTTCCCATCGCCCGGCAGCACTCGACATGGGTGAGGGTAGGGGGTGCTGAGCCAGGGCACGTGGAGCGTTTTGGAGCAAGGGAAGGATGGGGGCAGAGGAGTCCCGCAGCAGGGCAGCCCCTGGGCTGGCTCCACGCAGGGACACAGGGGTTGCTTCCGACACAGGCTCCCCTCTCCTTCCCGTGCCCGCCACGCAGCACCAGCCACGAGCACCCGGCCACCCTCCATCCCCTCTGCTCCTTTTCTGCTGAGCCAGAGGCTGTGCCCGCCGGCTGGGTATGCACATGCAGCATCTTCCCCCCACCCCGTCGGCCCCACAGCCCCCCGGTCCTACCCTGCAGCCCCCCAGCCATGCCCTGCAGCCCCCCTC